TTATTCCTCTAGTTGCCAGTATTTAACTTAAAGTGCAATATTTAGGGCCCTGGTTAAATTGGACTGCAGGTCTGTCACAGTTACCCTACTCTCAGGCTGTAACAACATTTAGTCTTTTGAAATTAGGTTGGTTGCAAGTCAAAAGCAAAAGTTGTAGTTAGTTAAGTTGGTTGCTGAGTATTTTAAGCTCATTAACAAGGCTTTTCTGAATATTGAAGAGGAGCAAAGAGTATTCCCTTTTTGCATAATCTTGTGTAAAGAAACTCAGAGAAAATTATTTTGCGATGAAACTTCAGAACTTCAATGCAAAAGAAAAAAGGACAAAAATAGAAACAACTTATCTGATTATGAACATAGTTTTAAGAAGGAAAAGTGGTCACAGCAACCTTGAAAATAAGAATCTCAACCAAGTAAAATGACAAGGAATCAAAACAGAAAACCACATTTTAACATACCTGAGCAGTAGCAACAGCCTCATCTGCTTCTTTGAGTCGCACAAGTAATTCCCCTGCAGCCTGCACAGCTTCAGCAGTATCCCGCAATTGTGCCTGAAGCCCCTTATTTTCATCCCTAAGATATCTCCTCTCTCTTTCTCTTTCTACTCTCAATGCTGAAATTTCTGCAGCGAGAGCATTTATGAACTTTGACTCAGCACCCCTGACTCCAGCCTTAGAAGCTGCTTTCTTCACATCCTCCACTCCATCCCGTATTGTTCTATGCCTTGCAAGCAGTTGCATATGTTTCTCTTCCAAATCTGCATACTGCTCCAACATTCGTGCTTGCCCCTCCATCGCAAGTTGCATTGCTTCCTTGAGCTCTTCTGCACATTTCTTCTCAGTTTCTAATTCTTGCATTGTCTTTTCAGCCAATGATCTGCTGGCCTCAAGTTCAACTTTCAACTCTTCAGCCAGAGAAATCCAGTTACTCTCTACCTCAGTCCACCGTTTTCTCTCTTGTTCAAGTTTCTGTTCAGCACTTTCCTCAGTTGACTCTGGAATTGTACTAAGAGGAGCCACATTGGGGTCACGTGAATAGGTCAACTGCAGCATAGACTTCCGTGTCCGGGCTGATGTGGATGAACAGTCCACATAATACTGTAGCTGGCTTCTCAAGTCTTGAATCTCTTCCAACAACACTTCCCTTTCACCCATATCACAGAAACTTCGTAAATTGTCCAGCTCATCTTGAACTCTTTTCAATTCAATCTTTGTCCTCAAAAGTTCTGGGTGATTCTCGTATTTTTCCTTCAAAAGCTGTATGCGATGGGTAAGCATAAGCATAAAGAACACAATCAGATCAACAAAAAAAAGCACAAAGAACACAAAAAGGATCTGGCCAAAAAAAAAACCCCACAAAGGAAGCCAAAGAAAGATTTATACCTTATACTCATGTGTGAGAGACACTAGCTCTTCCTCCATGAACTCCTCAGTGGGTAAAACGCCATCCATAAGGCTCTCAAGGCGTAGAATTTTATCCTCCCTTGTCTGGGCTATAATGGCATTGCATTCTCTCTCATGCTTGTACTGCTGCACCTGTAAATCACAGCAAAAATATGTCATGCCAGTAGTAGACGAAAATAATGGCTATGGATGGCGGTCACAGAATTTGGAGAAACCTACCAAACGGTTGAGCTGCATTATCTCAGAAGTTTTCTTGGCACATATGTCTTCTAATGCCATTTCTCTCCTAATAGCTCCAGCTAAAACCTTCTCCACAGCCTGTTGAGTAAACGGTGGAAAAGTCAAGTGACTGTTGCACATGAATACAGAAAGTTTGGAAATGATAACTGAAAAATTCAACTACTCTCTCCTGAACTTACTTTGGGAACTTGTATCTTGGATTTGTCAGCAGACTCTGACCCATCGACAGTTACTAATTGCAGATCTGAAATTTCATTGACCTCCTTGACCTCTAGCTGCATTCTGTTCTTGCAATTATTACACATAAATTCCACTGAATCTTCTTCAACTATTTCATGACTAGTTTGCACACCCACATCAGCTTTAGAAACTGGCAAAATCAGCCTAGACTCTGAAGGTTTCAATGAAAACCTGAATGACGACCTCCTCAAAGCTGAACTATGGCGGTGACTACCAATAATTTCAAGGCCATTGCGAATGCTTGCTGCCAACTGTTCAGCTGGTGCCGAAAAGTTCTTACATATTTGAGCAGATACATCATCTGAT